TGGGTGGGTGGGGGTTTCAAGGGAAGGCGCTCCACCCTTACCCAGGCCCCCTTGGCTGCAGAGCATCGCCGTTGTGCCAAGAATGTGCTGGGGTTTCTGGGTGGCGGCCATATTGGAAGCCTGTCTGACAGGTCCATTGTGCGTGTGTCAGATGGCCTCTGTGATTGGGCAGTTGTGTCCAGTCACGTTTGGGCACTGTGTTCCGATCGTCTGTGCTGGTGAGCAGACTGTCCAGTCGCTTTCTCCCAGAGTTTGGGAATACTACCCAAAACAGCACCTTTCCAAAATCACCCAAAAGTCTGAAATCTGAAATTAAATCTAACTTTATTACTGCATTATGAGTGCTTCTGTAGATAAATACATATTTGCATGACTTTTTACAGGTTTTGTAGTATTTCTGACCCCTTTCTTCTTGCTTGTTCTTTCTTATAGTCAAAGTCACGTAACATCCTGCGAATCGGGCTTCACTCTCTCGGCTCGGTACTGTGGGGTGATGACCTGTGTTGCCATGACGACCCCAGAAACAGCCACGCCCTCACTACCTTTCTCTATGGACTGCGTGCTTTGCTAAGGTCATCGCTGTCAGTTGCAGTAGTAACTGTGCCTTCACATCTCATCCAGGTAAGACAGTTTTTGACACATGACAACAACTTGGCATAAACAGACAACTTATCTGGTTAGCAGGTTTTTGCTGACCCAATATTTAACTGATATATCTACCCTTTATGCTAGTTTAGTTGAGAACAGTTATCATTAACTGTCAACATTATTTTTGGAGATGTGTGGTACTACAATAATACATTGACACAAATTTACAAGTCATAACTGCTTTACTCTCCTCTTGCTATCAGAGGAATAAATAACATATTATTTAAAGATAAAAGACAGGTAGGATTTTTTGTGTTTGGGTTGATGTTTGGCGTATCTACTTTTGCTTTGTCTTGTTCATTAATGGGGTACAAAGATTGAAGTCTTTTGTATTGGGGCCTCCTCTTGACCCTGTGCTTCAGTGTCACCCTGGTATGACTCAGGCCTGTGAGAGGCCTCTTCCTCCACACATCACTCCCCTAACAGACCCAGTCGAGTGCACACTTCTCTAAATCCATGTTTGTTTGTTTGGGCTTTTAATTACTTGAATCTGTACACAATGAGCGTGTGTGTCTTTGTATGCGTTTTCTTCTCTTACAGATATCCTGCCTTGTCGTTGTGTGTCTCTGGCTGTGTTTGTGGGTGTGTGCGTGTATGTGTGTGTTTGGGGTGTATAAGTCTGCGTGCATGCGTCTGTGTACAGTCTGGCCTCTCAGTGTGAAGGTGGAGTCATCTGCTGAGGCATATGGCAAACCATAGCCCTCCCCCAGACGGTCGACCATAGAAGCACACTCACAAGAAAAGCCATCTGAGACTTTCAACCAAAATGTTTCTATCTCACCTACACTTTAAACACTCGACTTCCTTATAGTCCACATTCACAAGAGTACGGAAGCTCCAATATCTGTGATCCTTTATGCAAAGATATAGGTCGATGCTTAACTTTCAGAACAGCTGTGTTGTCACAACATGCTCTGGCTCCAAGCCTATAGGCTCCGTGCACAGCGGCCTTGGCCTAGTCAAAAAAGGTAGAGTGGCTAACTAGCAGATGTCAGCTGTGGTGGGAGCGGTCCCCCTGTCCCTCTCTGGCCTGGCCTCCAAACCCTTAATCTGTCCCCTCCCCCTTCTCCACCCTGGGGAGTGAAGTGAATGAGTGGGGGAAGAAGAGGAGAGGGGGAAATTTTGGACTGAATCAGGTGTTGGGTGACTAAGCCAACATGGAGGTAATGAGAGGCTGTTAAGATGGGCATCAATGAAATGACCTTATGATTAGTTTAGTCTCATTTGATGTTGTTGTCATAAGAAAAGATTCTAATTGATCAGCTGAGGTCACCAAGGTGTGCAGGCTGCTCATTTCAAGTTAATGACAACAGTGTTAGCAGAGCTTCTTTCTGCCAGTACCTTTGCTTAGCTAATTAGCTTAGTTAACAGAGTGTGGCCTTTGGAAGACTGTCTAGACTAGTAGCAGAGGGCTAGCTGGCCGAAACCGCACTGGACTCTCTATCCATTATTGAGCAGCTTGGGAAGTTGGGCAACTCACTGAAAGCCTCCTCACAGCAGCCTTGTGCCACAGTCCATCTGAAACATTAATTAGGCTTGCCCCAGCTTGGTCCTCCTCCATCATACTATCTCCTGCACCATTCCCATCCCCACAAGTAAACACACAAACACAAAATACTTAGCTTTCCCTAAAATGCATTCATATACACCTTACCTTCTGCTCAGACTAAGTGGTGTCCTTACCTATGCAAATATTTAGACTCAGGGTTTGGACTAGTCAGGCAGAATTGTTTGGTACTGTAGTGGGGCTACTACAGGCTATTTTTAATAACCATATACAGCCTTTAAATTTAGGCCTGCAACTGACAATGTTTTACATTATCAATTAATTTGCTGATTATTTTTTTGACTAATTAATTTATCATTTAGTAACAAAGTTGTAAAAAACTTCCCAGAGTCAAAAGTGACGTCCAAAACCCAAATCTATTTAATTTACTATCACATATGACATAGAAAAGCAGCAAATGTTTGGCATTTTTGCTTTGGAAATAATTAAATGGTCATATTATATTTTATATTTCTGAACAGTTCAAACTTGAACAGCATATTCTTATTGTGGGATTTGATTTGTGAAAACTAGGCTGACATTGTCAGCTAGGATTGCAGCGGTATACTAATATTGTATACCATGGTATGAAAGTTATCATACTGTGTACATTTTCTTATCTACGATGTTGAATTCTATTGTACTGAACTTCTAATAATAATGGTGTGTCACTCTATAATGTGAAACCGTGATATTTTCTGTTTCTGTGTACCGTGAAAATCTCATACCTTTGCAACCCTATTATCAGCTATCAGCTTGATTGCGAGGTTTCCAACAGTACTTTTTTCAACTCAGTTGTGTTTAAGTATTATGAATTGCAAAATTGTTTTGCATTTTTTATGTGTTTACATCACAGGTTTTAAACCAGGACATGTAACTATATAATCATCATGCTAACTACACCTGCCATATCAGTTTTCTTTTTTTTTAATGTAGGGACTGTGCTTGTGTTCCCAGATGCAATCACATTTTTATCTTGCTTCCATTTGTATCCTTGGAAGTGATGTGCATTTATTTTGTGTCATATATAGACTCTGCTCTCTCTCTTTGGCAGAGGGAAAAGTCATCCCTGCCTCCTTCAGAGTGATGTATTGAATATTTCTGCACACACAGTGACCCACGTTTTCAAACAAGCACACACAAGTACAGCGCTGAGCCATACAGCCAAACAAAAGTCAAAAGTGTTACAGAGTGTTACATTAAGACACTATGGTTTGGTCAAGGTAAAATACTGCAGGGTACAATGAACACTGGGCCCTCCCTATAACCTATTACTCAGTCAGCTGAGACTCAGGGTGTTTGGGGGATTTACAGTGATGGAATCTGAGCTAATTGAGCCAGCATAGACATTTCTTGTTGAATTGAAGTTACTTTTGTTTGAACCCCTTATCAATTATAAATAAGATTTTTTTAAAGATACACAGTTGAGGTGAGTGTTTCCCTGATCACCTCCTTAAACTCAAGGAGCTGTGGAGCACGTGCATGTCTTACTGACGTCATTCTGTCCTCTGCCGCTGTACTGAGCAACTCTGTGTGGATACTTTGGATTCCTCTGACTTTGAAACTTTTAAGTCTTTGTATTTCAATAAGCACAGTAAGTATTATAGACAAACTAGCACAGATAAAGTTTTAGCTGCCTCTCTCACTCGCACAGACACTACTGGCCATACTGTACCATTAGTGTTTTGACAAATTTGTTGTAGCCAAACTGCTACACTACTTTAATTGCTGCATTAGAGTGACCTCAGGTACCCTCTAAGTGCTGGTGGCCCTGACTAGTGGGATATGCATACTTTAAAAGTAGGACAAAAATGAAAAGGAAGAAGAAAGAGTGGGGAAAAGACATGAAGGCATAAAAACTGCATTAGGCTGTGGCAGCCAACACAGAGAGAAGGATGTGAATGATTCAAGAGGCAAAGAGATTAATAATGCAGGACTCCCTCTTTCCCTCTATCCCAGTGTCCCTCTCTCCCTCCCCTCCACTCCCTTTACCCTGTGCCTCCACCCTTTGTATATTTCTCCTTCATTCTTTCTATCTACTGTATTCGCCCCTGATTTTTCCCTCTTTGTTGTCAAGTCACTGACCTAACCAGTAGGGGGAGCTCTCCTCATCAAGCCTCTGCTGCTGTCTCCCAGGTCCCCTCTATCCTCCCCTGCTGTGTGCGGGTTTGAGAGTGTGCACCAACTGCAAACCTTTTCGTAAAAAAAAATGTTGTTTGATGAAGTAAAATAATGTGTTGCCACTGACTTTTCCTGTGCCATGTTTGTAGATGTATGCCTGATGTAAGGTGTGTGTCCATTTGCCTGCCCCGACATCACCTGTAACCCCTGTCAGTGCTCTTTCCCCCCTATACCTCATCACCCTCACCTAAGCCATGGGCAGAAATGACCTGGCCACGGGAAATGATGACCTAATTTAATTGCAACACTGATGGCCCGTCAGGAGGCTTTTAATTACCTGCTCATGCTTTTCTCTCTCTCTCTC